GAGAAGAGGACAACAAACGAGGGGCTGTGACAAACTGTTTCGTCGGAGTTACGTACAAGGCCAGCCACGTGGATGGCAGGTTGAGCCCTGGCTGCCCCCATCCATCCCCCGTGTGTCACAAGGACCCACTTGCACGCACTGCCAGCCAAAAGGCAAAAAAGAGGTAAAGAAAAAAAAGAGGAGAAAACCAAACCTGACAGGGAAAGGAAGATAATCCAATTATCACAAAGCAAATAACACATCCCACAGATCAACATATGTTTTCTTTTTTCTTTCTTTCTTATTTTCTTATTTTCTCTTATATACATATATATAAACATACATACATATATATATTTAGTCATCGCTCTACACCCATACGTATGTATACAGATATGTGTTTTCTGTTTTTCTTCAAATGGAATAAAGCACTAACATTACCAAAGTCATCTGATTCGTCCTTCGGGACATCCGTTAAAAATTGGAACCGATACACAGAAAGAGAAGAGTAGCATGGCCCCTGCGCAAGTAAGGATGACAGGCATAAATCGACAAATGGTCCAATTTTTTTGTTTTATAAAGAAGCCTCATCTGATTCCACGACTCGGACTGATAGCTTTTTCATAACAATAACAGGTGCAAACCATTCAAGCACCTCGGTTGTATTCAATATGAACACTCCTAGATGCTATAGCCACCTCCAGCTATACATTCTTTGGCCCCAACTCCGCCCCCCCTCCCCCCACCTCAAGAGGACGGAACAAGGGGGCAATAATCTGATTCCGGCTCGTGCTCTCAATGAACATACACACTCCGTTTGTTTCGAAATTGAAATCCATATTAATTTAAAGATGGTGATCTGTACAAAAGTTTACGAAAATAGAAAACGGCCCTTCTTTCTTGTCGTGATCGTGATTCCCAGCCAGGGGATGCAAACGCATAGGCGCGCACAACACCGGCAATCTGGCGACACCAGTAACCCTAGAGGACGCGGCAATGGACGACATCCGACAGGTACACAGTGACACAGGAGAAACGCAAGACACTCTGTTCGGGACATCGTCTCTCTCTCTCTCTCTCTCTCTCTCTCTCTCTCTCTCTCTCTCTCTCTCTCTCTCTCTCTCTCTCTCTCTCTCTTCGT